TAAAATAAATCTTCAATTTGTTATATATATAACATTTGTTATGTATATAACATGATCCGCCTAGCGGAATTGAATTTTTATAACCTCAGTATGGAGAGTATATTAAGTTTGACATTTCATTTGTAACACCTCGAAATACACATTTTAGACCCTACAAAGTACATATATTCTTGATCAGCATAAAATTCTATGTCGATTTAGCAATGTCCGTCCGTCTATCCGTCTGTCCGTCTGAGGAAATCACTCTAGCTTCCGAACGAATTGAAGTAGATTGATTAAAATTTTACCGAACTGTATGCTATGTCTGCAGGACTTTTGGTATTGAAAATAGGCGATGTAGGTCCACGCCCCATATAACGGTACCTCCCGATATTCGGTATTTTGATGATTTTAGCGAGACTATTAACCAGAATTGTTTCAAATTTGGTATTTGAAGTTCGTAATGGATACCACAGCCTAAGACAGAAAATTGTCTGTGCAGGTCCACGTCTTCGTATAGCCCTCATATAACGGTACCTCCCGATATTCGGTATTTTGATGATTTTAGCGACATAATTCACCGGAATTGTTTCAAACTTGGTATTTGAAGTTCGTAATGGATAGTACAGCCTAAGACAGAAAATTTTCTAGGCAGGACCAAGTCTTCGTAGGGCCCCCATATAACGGTACCTCCCGATATTCGATTTTTTTTTAATTGTCGCATTTGAATGGCTTATGACAAATGTTACCTATGCAGGTCCATGTCGTCCTATAGACCCTAATATGACAGCTACATTCGGTATTTTTAAGATTTTAACAGAATTTTTGACGGATTTAATTGTTTTTGAGAATTTCCAAATTCGTTCCAAATGGTGGAGGGTATTCAAAGTTCGGTCCAGCCGAACTTACAGCTTTTTTACTTGTTTTCTTCTAAAATCAAAAATAGAGTCTTAAATGTTACTAACCCAACAAAAAATATTTTTATTCGTTAAAATTTACAAAAATTTGGACAGATGGAAAAGATCCTACATCATTGTGAGGTGGATATACTTTTTTTAGCAAATTCTCTCCAAATATATCAAATCAGTGGAACTGCTTTTCTAGGGACTCTAACAAATCTATATATACCCATGCACCCATGCTTTAACGAATACAATCAACATCTGTACCAAATGGTTTAAATATTTATTATGAATCATGGAAATTATAACCGTGACCCATCATTGATGTCACACATTTAAAATTGTCATTTAGGTAAAATTTATAATTAAAAAAACCAAATTCACGTAATTGATTTTAATTATTTGTATTAAAATTGTAGCGTCAAAGATTTGACCACAAATATGAGTTTAAAAAACGACCTATGGACTCTTATAAGAGACGCCATACAAATTCAATGTCTCTCGTGTCATGGTTCATGTAAATCCGATTATTCCGAAAACAAAAACAAATGCTATCTGCCAATGGCGTCGTGAATAGGTGGAGAGTTTCTCTCTAAAATTGTAAATTGTAAAGCACATAATTATAAAAATTACATAAAAAATAATTGACGGATGGCTATGGGTGCATTATCTCTCATTAGAAAAAAAAAAGGTAATAATGTCTCTTTACTATTTTTGATTTTTTTGGAAAAATAATTTCATTCATATGAGTTCATTACATTGAAGGCCTTGTGGACATTTCAATGATGCTATGTTTTGATGTTTTTGAGATTGATGATCAGAACGGCTTCAATTGATACTTTTCCGATCGGCTGATTCATCAACCCATAGACAAAAAGGCTGAAGCACTAGAATCGTGCAAGGGAATTCGATAAGACGGGATTTCTTTGGAAATTGAACAAAAAAGGTTTGAAATGTACCAAAACGTATTCGTATTAATTGATCAATAGGTGTTTGTATGAAACTGTTGTAAGAATTTGTAAAAAAATGTTCTTATATTGACTAGGACCTACACACACTTTTAAAGTTGAACAAATCCAAGTTAAAAATTTCCCCAGTTGAATATTGAGATGTTCGTAGTTTGATAAAATTTTACGAAATATTATATTTCTACTTCTTTAAAGTGTTGATCATTTGTGGAGAAGGTGCCAGAAGAATTGGACCGATATATTTGGTTTTCTCCGATGAGAAAACATTCGTTGTCCAGCAGTTTGTAAACAAACAAAATAATCGTTTTTACTTGCCAAAGAGGTCAGCTGAAAATGAGCACCTTCGGTTGGCCACCAGAACTCAAGCGCTTTCATTCAATAAAGTTCAATAAAAATAAAAAAATTATGGCGTTCGACTTTGTTGCAGTTTTCTTATCTCACCCTGTGTATTTGTCCTACATGTAATATTGACATAACTATTGGAATGCAATGGTAATTCAGTTACCTTAAAAAAACGTTATATTTATTCAAAATGTAGACCCTTTTATAGAAGTAAAAAGATAGGTAATATAAACCTATCTTTGAACTTTAACTATGTTTGAAAAAAATATTTATGGGTGTGCAAAGTGTTGGCCAAATTACTTACTCCGTTTAAGAGTTATCGTGAGCACCGACCTTCTTTCAGAAAATGGTTCTCAAAAGTGTGAGATAATCAATATAATGCTATGGAAAGTGATCGATATGGCTGAAAATTTGTATATTGGTTTCTTCTGTTCCAGAACCTGCAAGAATCTACTAGTTTCGCAATTTTGTTTTGATATCTTAAAAATAACAAGTACAAAAGCTGTAAGTCCGGCTGGGCCGAACTTTGAATATCCTCAACAATTTCGAACGAATTTGGCAATTCTCTAAAAAAATAAAATCCGTTAAAAATTCTGTTAAAATCTTATAAATAACGAGTGTAGCTGTTATATTAGGGTCTATACGACGACATGGAACTGCATATATTCAAACGCTTAAAAAATGGGTGAATAATGTAGCTAAAATCATCAAAATGCCGAATAGCGGGAGTTAGCGTTATATGGGGCCTATACGAAGACGTGGACCTGCACAGACAATTTTCTGTCTTAGACTGTAGTATCCATTACGAACTTCAAATATCAAATTTGAAACAATTCAGGTGAATAATGTCGCTAAAATCATCAAAATACCGAATATCGGGAGGTATCGTTATATGGGGGCTATACGAAGACGTGGGCCTGCACAGACAATCCCCTGTCATAGGATGTAGCATCCATTACGAACATCAAAAAAAATGAAACAATTCCGGTGAATAATGTCTCTAAAATCAACAAAGTAACGAATATCGGGAGGTACCGTTATATGGCTGATGTATTCATTTCGAACTTCAAATACCAAATTTGGAACAATGCCGGTGAATAATGTCGCTAAAATCATCAAAATACCGAATATCGGGAGGTACCGTCATATGGGGGCTATACCAAAACGTTGACCTGCATGGCCCATTTTCAATACCAAAAGTCCTGCAGACATAATATACATTTGAGTAACATTTTATCAATCTACTTCAATTCGTTCGAAAGCTAAAGTGATTTCCACAGACGAACGGACATCACTATATCGACATAAAATTTTATGCTGATCAAGAATATATATACTTTGTGGGTCCAAAATGTATATTTCGAGGTGTTACAAACGGAATGACAAACTTAATATACCCTCTATACTCTGGTGGAGGGTATAAAAATCGGTTATTGTAATAAACATTTTTACATTTTTGCAGAATGCAGACCCTTAGATGATAAATACTTTTATTTTTGACGTCATCCTTCTAAAATGTGTTTTAAGAGACTTTAACCCTTTTTGTAAAAAAATATTTTTGTATATTTTAACTGCTACTATCCCATTTCAAGGGATTTTTTTATTTATTTACCTCTTTTGAGGGTTAAAATGTTTGACCAAAATAATGGGATTTTGTTGACAAGAAATAAAATGTAGTTTAGTTGACAAGGAAGCGTGATGTCTTTCCTTGTCCCCTAAACTCCATTTTATATTGAAACAGTACTAAAACAATCGAAGTTGGAATAATAAATGTGAATTATTTTCACCCATGCAAATAGAATATTTTTAAGCAACAAGTGACACTTTTTGCTTCTCTCTCTTAATTTAAATTTCCAACTTACCCACAAATTTGATAGAACTATTAACATCCATTAAAAAATAAAAAATAGTTAATTCTTAAATATATGTAGTTCTTTAATTTTTAGCAAGTCTTTTCAAGCAAAACAATAATATCGTTAAAAATTAGACTTATCACAAATGACAACCATCTATAACGTTGTTGTTGTTATTTTAAACTTTCGAATATATATTTTTTAATTATTTTATTCAATTTATTTTTTAATTAATGAAATTAAAACGTTTCGTGTGTATTTGCTAAGCAGTTATAAAAATTTGGCATATTTTAAAAGACTGGAAATGCATAGATTAGATTAAGTTTATTACAAATTAATCGATTTGAAATTGAAATTTCATTATGTCTTGTGAATATTGTGTATTACTGTGAACATTAAAATATTCGAAAGAAATGTTTACTTCTCCTCCAAAATGAGCTTTCTGATCTGAATTGTTAACTATTATTTTATAAAAAAATAAATATCTGGTGTATTTTTTATTTCTTCATTTAAGGAACAAGAAACGTTGATCGATAAAATTCGAACTTGAACAATTGTGCTTTGGAAAAAATCGTTTTAACATCTATTCTATTAATTTGGTTTTTTTAATAATCTATTTTTAACTTTTGCTTTTATTTCGACAGGGTTGTATGCTAAAAAGGGAGACAATACGATTTGTAGATTAATTTTAAATGTGGTTTCTATGCATTTTCATTAAAACCAAAAGGGAATACATTTTTTCACTTTTCATGACATGTTCATTTTAAATAATTGAAAAAAAAAAAACATTTTGTTTGCATTGATTTTTATTTTTGTAATTTGCTGGCTTATCGCTTTGCCAACAAAAAGTCAACTTAAAAAGGCACTTTAATTTTAGTATGCATGAGTATGTGTATGTATTTGTTTCCATTTGTAAATGGATGTGTGTGTGCAATTGTTTTATATATATATATATATATATATATATATTCCAGTGTTATTTAGCCATTGACTCAAGTGACGAACTGACAATAATACTTTGCTGTTCTTGTCGTTTTCTTTTATTACAAAATGCGTTCTCTTCAAAATTGTAAAATTCCCTCCCATAGTACTTTGCAGTTCAATAACTAATTAAGTTTTAATGAAGCAAAATAAAAAAGTTCATTGGACATTCGTCAAATGGAATATCAGGTGGAAAAGTGTTTATTAATTTAGTTCATTAGGTATGTTTATATATATATGAACCATTTAACATAATAGCAACAAAGACTCGACATAAAAAGGCCAAAGTAATTTTAGTCAAAATTGACATAAGAGACCTAGGCCCAGTGACACGTTCTAGACAAAAGCTTCTACAGATAGAAAATTGGACAAAGTCCAAAGAGTCGCTGGATGCTAAGCTCTCTTTGAAAAGGAACAAGTGTCAAAGAATAACCTGGGGATTACAATATGGGTACTCCAAGTAGATGGATTCGTTAATGGTAGATAAGCACAGATGCGACCTTTTAAACGCTATATGTTTTATATCTTATTTCAGAACGCATATATACAAGGTTTTTGCGATTTAATTAATTATAAAAATCTACCGCTGAGGATTTTGGCAAAAAAAATGAGAAAAAATATTATTCAACCATGTTCTGTGTTTTGATCCGGATTGGATAAACTTCCCCGAAGTTTTCATACAACTACTGTCTTAAATGCTTCAGAGGCCGCTGTTCATTTTCCTCTTTTCTTACTTGCTTTCCAGATGTAGTAGCTGCAGCATTTTGTTTGATATTTATTTGTAAGTATTTTCTTTGGAGGAAATACCTATAGATACCTATTATAAATTGAAGGACCTAATAAACGTCCCCTATTTGTTAAAGGTCTTTTAAAATAAATCTGTCTGTAATACATGCAAAGTTTTCTAAAAATGTCCGATGTATCATGAAAAAAGGAGATGGAAGCTCTTCTATCTATTGAGTACAACTATTACATCTTCCATCTGAAAAATACGCCTTATGGCCATACACATACACCTACGAACATCGACAGAAATTCTGATCTTCAGGAGACCCATTGAAGGTATTATACCTATAGAATACCTATTGACTAGATAAAAAATATTTATCAGACCATACTTTCTAACCGAATGGTTGTTAACATATTATTTATAACATATTTATCTGCCTTTATGAAAACTATATTGCACAGGACCTTGCGTTTGTATATATAGTTTGTATCACATAATTATATCTTTGCGATTTTATTTGCATATTTGTATTCTGAATTATTTAGAAAATCTGCTGTCTGTTTGTATTTTGAATTCCCCACGTTAATTGTTCTTTGCATCCAGGAATTTACTCTATCAATTCATATAATGGAGGTATGGAAACCTTGAGAAAGGTTGTATATCTATTGCCCATCAATTTTTCTTTTCATTTGGAATATCTAGATTTTTCCTCCCATTTAAAATTGGTGTAGTGTCTTTTCACCGTAAACTTCAATTACATTTTGTGTTAAGGTGTGTATTGTTGTCCGTCATTTTCCTATCATAGTACTTTCAAAATGTTTAAAAAATTTATAAAAATAAAGTAAGGAACCAATAAAAATAAAACAAAATATTAAAATGTGTTTTTTTTTTTTTTTTTTTTGAATTTGGTATCTTATTAAAATAATTTTTAAAAATATATTTTTGCATTTCTTTGTTTTCACATTATTATTATTATTACATATAAATTAAACAATAGCAACATCATTATCAAACAGAAAAAAATAACATTAACCTAAAAAATAACTATACAAATTGTAAAATATAAATTAAAAATAATTTGTTTTTCTTTTGTTTTTGTTGTTTCAAAATACATAATTACAAACAAAAAAGCTCGTATGTTTTTAATTACAATTTACAATATATCAGTACCTTTGTTTCTTTCTGTTTCGTTAATGTTGATAATCTTTTGTACATAGTATTTTAAAATAAAAATTGTTATTAAATATTCTCCTGTGTTTTTTAGTTTTCGATTTCTACAAATATACATGCTGTTTGACAGTCAGTTGCCCAACTGACTCTTTCCACTTTTTTAGTTGCTCATTTGTAGACCACCACTACTACGACTACCGGTTGACGATGATGTCTGCAGGTTATTAAATTGTGATACCAATTTGTCGTAGTCTTCCAGGGAAGTTTCGAATTGTTCCAATTGCTTGGAAAGATCATCAACGAATGAATATTCACCTTTGGAATTGCAGGAGGAAAGTGTTTGATGTTGCTGCTGCTGGTTGTTAGCCACCGAGTTGGCTGCTTGCGAACATGTCTCAGCCTGAATTTCAGATAGACCTTTAAGGGGCGGGGCGTGATAACAGTCACGATAAAATTTCGCCAAATCATTGACATGTGAGGTGGGTGAGGCAAAGGGGAAATTCAATTCTTTGAGTAAATTCTCATCTTCCGATGATAGATGATGGGCCAGGGTTATCGATTGAGGTGAGGAGGCCTGCTGTCGGCTATTGTGTAGATTACTGTTTATTGGGGCGGGTATAAATAACGATTTGACAGGTGATTGGGAGTGTGTTGAATTATTGGGAGATTTTTGAGACAATTGGGCAGCGGGTGCTGGTTGTTGTTGCAAATTTTCATCATTCTCCAAACTCTTAAAGGCTGTTACATTGTTATTTGTCGCCGAGCAGTTATTGTTGTTATTGGCAGCATTGTTGTTGATATTATGTTGATGACCATTTCCCAGTGGCGACGTTTGTGGAGACTCACATTTACGATTTAGAGACTCAATGGAACCACCATACCCTGTGCCCGTACTACCCGTACTTTCATGCCTAGGTTTTCGCAACAGCCATTCAAATGGGGGAGTTTCTGGCAAAACAAAATCATCTTCGGTGTATTGGCGCAATTTACCCACATCTGTGAAGGCACCTGGCCTTAAGGGCTTCTCAATATCAATGATTTTCTTATCACCACCCAAGCCACCCGCAGATCCTTTCTTATTATTGGCTGTACCCGCATTTTGTTTGCTGTTATTTTCACAATGCTTAAAGTGATTGGAATCAATCATGATGGTATTCGATTCTCGTGTCCGCGCCTGTGCAGCTGTGGCTGACGGTGTAATTGTCATTTTGGTGCGATAGGAGACGCTCATAACCAAATTACCCACAATCGTGTTTAAATTACCAATGCGTACAGTTTTATGGCCCTCGCCCAATGCATGAACCTGGGGTTTCTCAACGTAGATGCGATAGTAAATGCTATACGAATCGGGGCACTGGCGTCGGGATAACTTGTATGCGGGTGTGGCACGTGTCAATGAAATTAATGACTTTAACAGCATTCCCATGCGATTGTAGATGGCATGAGCCGTCTTCAGACAGGGCGTTTCGGGTTGTGATGTATTGATATTTTGATTAAGACCAGCCTTTTCATTGGTGACAACATCTTTGTTCTTGCTTTGGGTACCACCATTGGCACCACCAGCGCCTCCCGTTACTTGTAAATCCAAAGACCATACTTCCAATATCATTTGATCACCTTCTGCTGTTTTTAAAGAAATCTCCACGCAAAGGGGCAGACGTTTCAAGATGTTTTCTCCTGGTGACAAAGCCAAGGCTTTCTTCGTTTCGGCATGAACATCTGGATGATCTTCGACAACGATATTAAACCAGTCGTTGCCGGCCAAAGGATTGCATTTTGTTTGTATTTTTTCACCAAGTCTTGATTGTACCACAACTTGGGTGGACTTTAAGGCTAGAAATTTTATAAATTTCTCCAAATCTTTTTCGGCTGCATTAATGCGTTGTGTCGACATATTGCAATGTTTGCTTTGTTCCTCTTCTTCGTTTTGTCTATATTGTTGTTGTTTTATCGATGAACAAATGTTCTCGTTTAAAATGGTTTGTGTTCGTCGTGTTTTGTTTTTATTATTGTTGTTGTTTTTGTTTGCTGTTGCTTCTCTCTATAGGCACCACACGCACACAGTCACATGCACTCACTCAATGAAAACAACAAACACATGCACAATTTCTTGGAATTTCGTAGAAGTTTTTTCTTCTCGTTTTTTTACTTTTGTTTGCTTCTTTTGTTTTTAATGTATATTTCCTCCGTTCAATATTTTCTTGCTTGCAAAATTTCATTAAACTTCCGCATTTTTATATTTTTTTCTTGCATTTTTGTTGGTGTCTGCTGATTACTTTTAACTTTTGATATCTGCTATAGATCAAGCATTACACACCCTTTTTTAGATTCACTTTGTTTCTTTTTTGCCTTGTTTTGCATCAGTGGCATTGCATTAATTTCATTTCATCCGTTTTTATCTGTGTTTATATTTTTAAATTTGTTTATCTCACTGTAGTCGCTGTTTATAACAAAGGAATTATTTATCAATTTGCATTTCTTTATTCTCGGAAAATTACAAATATGTCTACGATTTTTTTCTCGTCCGACGTTTGTTCTTCCGTTTGCTTTGATTGCTCGTGTTTCTCTTTTTACCCGTTGAAATTGAATGGAATTTCGTGGAGTTACTCATCATTAGGGAACTATAAATCGATTTGTATTTTATCGATATAAGGTTTTTTTTAAAGTGGCGTGGTGACATGACAAACTGAGTAATTTCTATAAAACAAAGCGCTAAACGAAATCAACGCGTTAATCCATTTTACGTGTCAATTTTATCGATAAAACCACAACAAAAGAGAGGAGAGTTTATTGACGCTGAAAGCCTCCTTGTGCGGTAACGTCTAGTACTCACTCTTGCTCTGTTCCAGGACCTGCTATCTACCAAATCCTGCAAGAATCTGGCAGTTTTCCATTTTTTTCGATATCATGCCGGAAAAATCTTTTATCATATTAAAAAGTTTTACATTCTTGGAATTCTGGAACAAAGCTTATATGTTTTGTCATTTCTATTTTGTGTGTTTAAAAAACATTTTGGAATAAGAAATGCTTTTACAACGGAGATCCGGTTGAGAATATTTATTTGTTGGATAATGTCTAGAAAAATATATATATTAAAAAATGCGTGTGCCAATTCAAAATTATCAAATGTAGAAATTGAATATTGTGCTGTTCCGGAACTGCAATAAACTACAGTTTTCCTACTATAACCCAAGCACAATTACAGAAGGTAGAACAAAGCTACCTCCTAAATACATTTTTTTCTTGTGGTGCTCCTATTCTGTCAAAACATATAATATAATAATCTGAAATTATTTCAAACAGAACAACAGAAATGTATATTTCGGCAAGAACCAACTAGTTTTGCATAAAGGAAAATATTGGTTGTCATAGGAAAACTTCTTACATTCTTGCAATTCCGGAACAGATCAATATTAAATTTCTAGTTTTGATTCGTGCAGGTTCTGAAACAGAGCACAAAACTGTGCAAATTAAAACAATGTGGAAATTAATCATGATTTTCGATTCGGATTAGCTTTAACGTTTTATATTTGACATATAACAGGAAGATTGGCAACAAATTTATATAAAAATTCATTGTGCAAAAATGTATTTTCGTAAAGGGTTTTTTAACCATTTTATGAACCAGATTAAAATTTCGTTACATTGAAGCTTTCCGATGTGATAATGGTTCATTCCCAACATATTTGCAAATCCAGCAAATCCACACATTCAAAGCATTTTACCACTTAACTACTATATATAGTAAAATCATCAAAGCTTGGGAACATTGATATGTCAAAGTTTTAAAAATGTTTTGGATTTGAGTAGATTTTTACATGTTTTCTTATACTGCGCAACCGGAGGCTGGTATGATATGATTTTTTCAACAATTTTTACAAATTCCAATAATTTTTCATTCTACAAATTCTCTCAATGTTTATTTTCGAAAAAAATCGAATCAGCAGATGTCGTCTATATCGTTTCAGGGGTTTGAGTGGGAATATTGAAGTCACACAGTTCTAAAATGTTAAAAATGACAAAACTGTAGGATATTTGTCAGTTGAAAATTGTTCCATAATAAAAGAAATGTGAAAAGTACGTGATGACATCGAAAAATTCGGAAATAATCAAGTGAAATTCTTGAAAAACGATAAAATGTGTTTTCGAAGTCGAGTAGGTTGAACGCGTAAATCAGCATGTTAAATATGCAAAACATGATGAGAGCCACCTGGAGAAAAATACAAAACTAACTTTTCGTTGTCTTTATCTTCATTTGTTTATGGCCTGTATCGCAAAATTTTCTGCACAGAAGTATTGTTCCCATATATTGAGAAGAATACAATGTCTGTATGTAAGTGCTAGGTGTCCAGTATTCGATCTACGCAGGGATCAATAAGAAAAATTTGCTCAACTTCAAAGAAATAAAAAAAATGAAACTTTGTGCCGAAGTCTTATAATGTCAAATAGAATTTTTAATATGCAATAGTTGTTTTGTTTATTTTTCATTTTTTAACAAAATTCTTTTATTGGGGAAACCCGCGAAACAGGAATGGGGTTTTGGGGTTATTCCACAAGATTGAATCTAAAATATTAGGACAATACAGTTTTATCTCAATATTGTACAATGTGTTGCCCATAAACATCGATAGTATGCAACTATTTTGCAACCGAATTTGAAATAATTTCAAATTATTGTATTTTTTATTCAAAACAATACACACATATACATAAAATGTGTACGTGTTTTGACATCATAAGGCCACCAAAAGAAAAAAATTGTATTTAAGGGGTAGCTTTGTTCTACCTAAAGTTATTTTGCTATGGATCTACGTATGCTATTTTTGTTATTAAGAATTCGCAATGCTAAATAATTTAACTGCGTCGATGTGATTACCTGTATTCTTCTATCATGATCCTTGTATCATGTCATATACATATAATGCCAATTTCATTGCGTACATGTCAAATTTTAATTTTCATTTGACGTATACGCATTCCATTGTTGTTTAGAGTTGAAATCCGCTGGATTTATTATGTATGATGCATGGTGTGACGCATACAGTAGCACCTTTCTAGTAAAAGAATAACGATCAGCTAGATTTAATATGTATCTTGCCATTTATAATTAACTGGTACAGCCAAAAATGTTCTTTAAATAGGGAAAAATGCGACTGTGTACAAAATCTATGTAGTTTTTCAACATTATAAGTCTTCCATAAGGTTTATTATATTATTGCACCATTGTTGGAATTAAGAAAGTAAAGTCATGAAATCATAAGTTTACAAAATTACATTTTATCAACAACTACCATATCAGTATTTAAACTGCACGCCCTTTTCTTAGGTACCCCTAACATTCTATACAGAAGCTGGCAAATCTGTCAATTTTTTACTCAACGCTGCTAGACTTGCTGAGAGAATTCGTGTTTATTTGTTGCACGTGTGTTTTTTATTGAGTATTGTTAATTTTATTAGCGGAAAATTGGAGAATTATAAGTTAAATATTTAACAATGGCACCGGTTATTAAACAAAAGACAAAGAAATCTTCCAAACAGGAACTGCCCGTCACGGATAAAGAAACTGTAGTCTCTTCACAGGTATCGTAAAAAAACTTTCAGCCTGGAAATATACCGATATGTTCAACAAAAAATTCTATATTCCAGCTTCAAAAGAAAATCAATAAACAGCCAGTCAAAAAGGAAGATCGTGGAGTTGTTTTCATCAAACATCTGCCTCATGGTTTCTTTGAACAGCAGCTTAAAAATTATTTTGAACAATTTGGAAAGGTGACCAGACTAAGGTTGGCCCGATCCAAAAGGACTGGTAACAGCAAAGGCTATGCATTTGTGGAATTCGAATACCCCGAAGTTGCCCAAGTGGCAGCAGAAACAATGGATAATTATTTAATGTTTAAGAAACTCGTTAAAGCCGCTTATATTCCACCGGAAAAACAACAGTACAATTACTTCAGATCCACAGTGCGCCAAATTAAAAATAAGGTTTGCGGGTGTGTTTGTTTTCAATTAGTAAAAATTTAATATATTTTATTTTCAGTCTGGAAAAACGGTTTGGGTGTCGAGTAAAACTGCCTCCGTACAACGTAAAATGAAAGAACACAACGACTGGTCTGGAGAGAATTTCACAAAACGCACCAACAAACAATTGAAGAAATTGCAAAAAATGGCAAAGAAATGTGCCCATCTTGGTATTGATATAAACAAAATCATTATTGAACCTAAAGTACAGTCGGAAAATGATGAAGCTGCAGGCAGCTCAAAAACGTCAAAACGTAAAAGCGAAAAGGAAGCTAAAACAGATGGAAAAAAGGGAAAGAAACAGCCTAAATTAGAAGATTTACTTGGCAATACCATACAAGAAGATTCGGAAGATGAAGATTATATTGCCATGGCCGGTGATGATGATAATGAACAATCATCCGATGAAGAATCCTATGGATTTCTTAAAGAAGACGATGATGATGAAGACGATAGTGATAATGAAGAGGAAGAATCTGAAGAAGAGGAGGAACAAAAGCCGGTTAAGGGTAAAAAGTCTAAAACCAATTTCAGTAAATCATTGAAGAATTCAAATATTGAACGTTTCGATCAAATGCTGAAGCGTAAACCACATGCTGGTGGTATACAAAAACCGAATAAGAAGTTAACAAAACCTGCCACTGTTTCAAACCCTAAAAATAAAATGCAACTTTATGCTGCTAAAGAAATTGCTCAACCTCTGTCCAAAGTCCAAGGAAAAAAGGCCAAAAATTCCGGCAATGCGTTAAAAAAGTCCAAAAAAGTTAAATAGATTTTAGTAGATATAACATAACTACATTATCTTCCTTCTTTTTCAGTACTATAAGTTTGTAAAAAATATATTTCTTTCTATACACGTGTTTTGTTGATTCTTTTGTAGTTTTAATGACGCGATCAAGATTCAATTTACCTTATGAATTTAGCATGCCACTTCGGAACTAAAATTTCGATTTTATATGAGTGTAAAGAAAGGTGCATGCCTGTATCGCAAAATTTTCTGCACATAAATATTTTTCCTATTTAAGTGCTAGGTGTACAATATTCGATATACGTATCATTTTTGTTATTAGGAATTCACAATGCCAAATCATTTAAAATTCCGGCCGAAACGACTATATATCGAATGAGAGTTGAACACCATTTCTACCAACATTTTAATTTTTATAGATATATTATGGGCATATAGAAACTCATTTAGATCGAAATGAATGCAAGAATTTGTTCCAAGATATCGGGAGCTACTCTTATGAAAGTGAGTTTAAGCTTGTGTGATTTCCACATAACGATCAAAGGGCTGCAACGAGATCATACTCATTCGAGATGATCCTCTCATTATTAACAATTCAACATTAGTTCGTATCAAATCACTAATGTGAGCTGTTCAATACGAACACAAGCTTATATCAATTCGTGTTTGCTCACAACTTTTGTGTTCCATGAGAGCTACTCGAATAAAAATGTTACATCTGACAAGCTGATTGAGTTTGATTGCATGAGTGTGATCAAACCTAGACAATCAAACTCTTTGCAGCTCTCTGATAACGATAGAAATGCCGAAATCGACATCAAGAATATATATGCTTTGTGGCGTTGAACATGCTTATTTCGAGGATTTACAAACGGAATGACAAACTTAATATATTCTTCAGTGGTATGTATGTTATGTAATACGTTTTAACATTTATTGTCTACTGAAAATTATTTTTATCTCTTCATTTTTCTAGTAATATTTTTTCAGTACGTTCTATTCACGATACAACAACATGCATACTGATTTTTTTTTATCAAAATGAGTTTTTTAAATTAATTTGAGTAATTTAAATTTAATGATTTAAATAATGTAACAGACGCAACAGACAATGGTCACCCTGTATTAGGATCCGTGGATAGAATATCGAATACTTGTGTACAGTAAAAAGAAGGTTCGCCGCACGGGGATGTAGCTCAGATGGTAGAGCGCTCGCTTAGCATGTGAGAGGTACGGGGATCGATGCCCCGCATCTCCAAGTCGAATTTTATATTTTTATATCTAATTATTTATATGAATAAACACTAGCTATTTATTTATATCATTGTAGCTACTAGTCCGCGTTGCTGTTTAATGCATACATATTTTTTTAAATAAATTACAACATTCATCATATAAGTTGGAATTTTATGAGTTCTCTCTTTGGATTGCAACTTCAATAGATTTTGGTGGTTTAGGATTTTTGATGTTTTTCTTGTTTTGTTGGTTATTTTTATAGTCTTTTGACAAATTTCTATAAGTGAGTAAACAGTTGGTAATACGACAAAATATTCTGGGATCCAGAGGGTAAATTTGATGTCGATTAAACCATGTCCGTCTGTCTTGAAATCATGTGAACTTACGTATATATTATTCTTGAGATGATTGACATTCAAGAAGGTACATCGGTCCCAGTTTAGCTGTTGCCCTCATATAATTCCATCGTCTGTATTTAGTATGTTTCTGCAACAATTTCCGACCGCTTATTCTAAGGTTGGCCCGATCCAAAAGGACTGGTAACAGCAAAGGCTATGCATTTGTGGAATTCGAATACCCCGAAGTTGCCCAAGTGGCAGCAGAAACAATGGATAATTATTTAATGTTTAAGAAACTCGTTAAAGCCGCTTATATTCCACCGGAAAAACAACAGTACAATTACTTCAGATCCACAGTGCGCCAAATTAAAAATAAGGTTTGCGCTTAGCATGTGAGAGGTACGGGGATCGATGCCCCGCATCTCCAAGTCGAATTTTATATTTTTATATCTAATTATTTATATGAATAAACACTAGCTATTTATTTATATCATTGTAGCTACTAGTCCGCGTTGCTGTTTAATGCATACATATTTTTTAAATAAATTACAACATTCATCATATAAGTTGGAATTTTATGAGTTCTCTCTTTGGATTGCAACTTCAATAGATTTTGGTGGTTTAGGATTTTTGATGTTTTTCTTGTTTTGTTGGTTATTTTTATAGTCTTTTGACAAATTTCTATAAGTGAGTAAACAGTTGGTAATACGACAAAATATTCTGGGATCCAGAGGGTAAATTTGATGTCGATTAAACCATGTCCGTTTGTCTTGAAATCATGTGAACTTACGTATATATTATTCTTGAGATGATTGACATTCAAGAAGGTACATCGGTCCCCGTTTAGCTGTTGCCCTCATATAATTCCATCGTCTGTATTTAGTATGTTTCTGCAACAATTTCCGACCGCTTATTCATTCAATTCAGACGACAAAGACGGCAACAACTGTATAATGTTAGGATCCTATTAGACATATCCCACCTTTCATGGTGCCTGCAGATTTGAAGTGTTTCAAAGGTTTGAGAGGGAATTTCCAATCGAATCAGTATTTAGGATCAGGATCTCAGACGACATAAATTCATTATTTGATATGGGCACCAATCGCAGCAAGACTTGGCATTCGGCACTTCAGTTGTCCCGATTTCTGACCGAATGGCCTCCAATTCAGCATTCTATGTTCCTATCGCAAGAAATTTAGATACATACAGATATGAAGGTTCACGTATAAATTCCATACAGGTATGTAGGTCGATTAAGCATTGAAGTCACAACTACCAGCGTATTGTGCACTAATTCGATTATTTTCACTAATTCTGACGGAATCAAAAAGAAACAAATATTCAATTCAATTAAGAAGTCAAATTGAAAAAAATCATGCGATATAAAAAAAGACAAAAAATAAAAAATAATTGAGAAAAAGTAACAAAATTGGCCACATTTTTATTCCCATATTTTTTTATGCTATTTATACCCTACAACACTATAGTTGTGTTCCGGTACTTTTTAATAGTAAAACTAGCAGAAGAGAGAATGGGAAGTATATGAATCTTCCTATCTCGCCGAGCCGAGTCGATCTAGCTATGTATGTCCGTCCGTCCGTCTGTCCATGTTAATTTGTAATCACTCTACAGGTTGGAATTATGAGCCGATTCTCACGAAATTGAAAATGTAGGTGGGGATAGGGTTTTTTTTTCTGATTTTGCAATTGACCAATTATGGACCAATTGACGCGGAAGTTAGCATGGGGATAGAGCTTAGCGCTGGCCAGAAGCCTTCCAATTTTGATGGCCATCGGATAATATTTAGTGGGTGAAATAGACCATAACATTTGTGTTAAATAAAAGTCAAATTTTCCATTAGACCGCGAATATTTTAAATCCCGGCTAAATCACAAATAGACGAATAGGTCAATTCTGACCGTTACGTAGATGCCGATAGTAAATATATCGGGTATATATAGCGAAATATCCAAAATAAATTTGGACATAAGGGGGCTTCTAACATATTGTCAGTGTGGCCATTTAGCATTTTTGCAGCTAAATTTAGCATTTATTTTTTGTATTTAGCCGCAAAATTTTCATTTAGTATTTAGCATTTTTCTTAGCATTTTAAAATTATTAGTTTAGCATTTTTAGCATATTTTTGGATGTGTGTATAAGAATTTAAAAATGGAAATTAGTAGAAAAAGTGGAAATTAGAAATAGAATGATATTATACACTATGAATTTACCTCTTTACATTAGATGCGTATTGAAAAGGTTAACAAAGTTTAAAAGTTTAAAGTAAAATTGCAAACGATCTCATTCTAATCATCTCTCTAATTTTCAAGTAGCAAGACTTAATACATTTTAATAAAATCATAATAAATTTAAAAACATATTCTTATATAATTCGCCCTATATTAAAGCTTAAGAAAGAGGGTTATGATAGTGGCTATTCAGAACAATATTTGTAAATTAAGGTTTCTCTACATGAATTGTTGTAAAAAAGATCAGAAGAGCGCCATTCGTGTATTCCTTAATTCGCCTGGAATTCACTTTCAGCATTTCGGTGCAATAGACATTTTTCCCATAAAAAATGGGGTCCATTTTACCCGCTAACTGTTATCCGATGGCTATCCAAATTTTGAATTGACATGATTTGTCAAAATCAGTCCAGCTATTTTCGAGATGTAAGCATTCTAGCGAATATATGTCGCTATATATAGCCGATATCTTCACTTTCGACCCCTACGTAACGGTCAGAATTGACCTTTTGTCTATTTGTTATTTCAACGGAATCAAGAATATTCGCAGTTTAATAGGAAAATTGTTTTTTTTTTTAACACAAAACTTATGAGCTATTTCACTCGCACAAAATTATCCGATGACCATCCAAATTGGAAAACTTTTGGCCAGTCCCAAGCTCTAGCTCCATGCTAATTTCCGTGTCGATTGGCCTATAATTGTGACCAAATGAACATCGGTTAAGCTCAGCGTTATTGGAAGATTTAGAATTTTTTTTATGCTCAACACTATTTCTTCTATTCTTACAATAGACCATTCCGAATTGGTGCGAATTTTCAGTTATTATGCCCGGATATGTAAGCATAGCAACTAACATCACTATATATATATATATATGTATATGTATATATATATATATATATATATATATATATATATATATATATATATATATATATAATTATAAATTAATATCTATGTTTTTATAACATTTTTTTCTTAAATCTTCAGCTTCCATAAAAAATTTAAAAAAGTTTTTAAAGGTCTTTCCTCCAAAAGACCTAAATTAGACACCTTTTTATAACCTCCTCAATGGAAAGGAGGGTGTATTAAATTTGTCATTCCGTTTGTAATACCTCTAAATATTCGTCGTAGACCCCATAAAGTCTATTGAAATCACGATATTGAGATTTGATGAAGATCTTTAAAAATTGGTACAACATTGTATTGTGTCAAGGATTTTTGATATTGAAATCCATAATCTCCATAATAAATAAAGCTGCGAAGCTGGAATCATTTATTGGGTAA